ACCCTCTGCCTCTGTGAGGGGCCTGAGAACCCAGCCTTGCAACCCCACGGGCAGAAGTGGTCAGCATGCATTTCCTCGGCACCTCAGTGGGTCCTTGCCCCTGACAGATGTCAGATTCTCCTGGAGTCTGCAATAACCTCAGGCAGGTGCCCATTCCTGCTGGCAGGGGGGGGGGCGTTCTCACCAGGGGGTGCCAACCTGCAGGTAGGCACCCTCAGGTGCCCCTAGGGGGATGGGATGGCAGCTGAGGGGATTCTGAAGAGTCTCTGAGGCCCGCTATCTGTTAGCAGCTCTCCCTCCTCCATTCTCCAGCCCCCTGGGCTCCAGACCCTGAGATTCTGTTGAGAACATTAAAGGCAGTGGAGGCAGCATCTGGGAGGCCACAAGCTTGACTACTCCCCTGGAATAGCTATGAGGCCTCCGGCAAGACGCTCTACTTCCCTGAACCTCAACTTCCTCGTCAGTAAAATAGGCACAGCTCACCGACCTCGCAGGGAGGCTGTAAAGATGAGCCAGGTGGTGTTGTGACACACGCTATCTGATGGCAGTAAGCTAGCCTACATGGTCATCAGCGTGCCTCTGTGAGTAGCCACTGCATGAATAAGAACGAAGGAGGTCCCAGAGCAGGCATCGGAGGAAGGGCGGCCCCTGCCTGGCCCCAGCACCATCCCTAAGAGACGCGAGCTGGAAAAGAGCAACAGCAGAACCAACGGATCCGGGCCCTGTTCTAACATTGCCATGCTCACGACAGCCCCTGCGCCTCTGCGCCCTGCAAACACATCATTGTCCCTATTTAGTAGGTAAGATGGTAGGCCAGGCTGGGATCACACCAGCGTCTCATTCCCAATGCGATTGCCAGGCCTCACTCCAGTCCATTTCCCCAGAATCGGCCCAACAGCTATCTCATCCACGTGGCCACGAGGGAGTGGGGATGGTGCATGGACGCTCACTGCAGACAGCCTGCGAGAGGAGCAGCTCCATGCATAAATGCCACAGGTGTGCCAAGCTGGGGTCGGGGGGGGGGGCGGGGGAAGAGGAGCAGTCCCCTCCCAGCTAAAAGCCAAACTCCAGTCCATTTCCCCAGAATCGGCCCAACAGCTATCTCATCCACGTGGCCACGAGGGAGTGGGGATGGTGCATGGACGCTCACTGCAGACAGCCTGCGAGAGGAGCAGCTCCATGCATAAATGCCACAGGTGTGCCAAGCTGGGGTCGGGGGGGGGGGCGGGGGAAGAGGAGCAGTCCCCTCCCAGCTAAAAGCCAAGAAAACCCTGAGGCCCAGTCTCTCCTCTCTTGCAGGAAGGCCCCAAACAACCACCTGTGCCCTTACCCCTCCCTCCTGGGCAGACTGGGGGCTCTCAGTGACTTTGGAAACAGCTCTTGGGGGCAAATCCCAGCTCTGCTACTTAAGAGCTGTGCCGCCTCGGCCTTAATTCTCTCATCTATAAAATGGGGATAATGATACCTGTTCCCCTGACCCCCGGCTGTGGTGAGGACTAAACTGAGATGACACGTGATCTCCCAGCACATCAGAAATGTTTGCTGAGTGACTGAATGACTGACCGGAGGGTACCATTCCACTTTCAAAGGGCTTTGGCTTTGGGGCTGCAGGGACACTACAGCGACCCCTGGCATTGAGTGGCCAGGGCAGGGCACTGAGGGCAACCACAGGGCCACAGAAATGGTGCCTGCCCACCACCCCTGCCCAGCTCACCCAGCACCTCCCAGCATGAAGGTGACCATAGATTCTAACTGCAGGGGGATCGCCAGCCTAAATTTAAAAATATAACTACCCCAACCACAAAGTCCATAACTGGCCAAGTGCATCACTTCTCAATGAGGAAGAAAATGGAAATGAGAAGAAATACACACAGGCAACCATATAGCCCCATCTCACAATCCCACAGCCTCAAAACCCACACGGTCTCACACTCACCCACACAACCTCAGAGACAGCCAACCACACACCCCAAACACAGCCACGGCCAGTCTCCCAGCCCCCGCCACGGCTCAGCACGCAGTCATTACCTCCAGTCACAAAAGGGCACATCACTCAACCTCATCCACCTTCCCCCATTCCCACTCACAGCCATCGCACTGCCTGCAGCCGAGTGCACCCAGAGCTGCCACGCACACCCCACGCACACCCCACGCACACCCCACGCACACCCCATGCCACACGTACAGCAGGCCCAGCTCCTCTCACAAAGCTCACAGGTAATCTGTCTTTTGCTTAAAACACCCCAATGAGCCCTAGCCAGTTGCTCAGTGGTTAGAGCACCGGTCCTTGGACCAAGGGGTCATGGGTTCTATTCCTGGTCAAGGGCATGTACCTCAGTTGCAGGTTTGATCCCCTGCCAGTCGATGTGTCTCTCACATCGATGTTTCTCTCTCTCTTCCTCTCTCTCTCTCTCTCTCGCTCTCTCCCTCTCTCCCTCCCACCTCTCTCTAAAAATCAATGGAAAAAGATCCTCATCCTCGGGCGAGGAGGAACAAAGCCCATCCCAGTGAAAGCCTAGTGACTGGGCTGGGCTGGGGTTGCTCCCAGTGCCTCTGCCCTCAAGAAGAATGTTTTGTTTCTGCTTCTTTGCCTACAAGTGCAGTGTTTGTGGCTCGTCAGCAGCCTAGACACCCCTCGCCTAGTCTCCTGTCCCCGCCTGGAAGGAGGGCTAGGCTGCAGGGCCCTGCATGGTGGGAGGCCTGACGGGCACTTTGGGGTCTCCAGCGGGAGTTCCCACAGGGCCTTGCAGAGGGTGGCTAGGCGTGTGCTCAGCCAGCCTGAGTCCCACTTGGGTCAGGGGCCCAGCCACATGTAAGAGTTGCCAGCGCCCCTCCCCAGGCCTTGGCTGGGGGCTGGGTAGAGAGCCTCCGTCGGCCTGGCTGGGGCTCCCTTACCCCAGCACTCTCCTTCCCCATCCAGCCCCGGACCCTCTGAGTCACTGAGGACCTGAGCACGTGTGGAGGTCAGCCATGATGAAGGGGGCGTGGCGGGATCTCAGAGTCACAGTGGGTGGGTGTGGAGACAATGAGGCAGGTGAGGCGGCAGCCTCTGGCTGGCTGGCCCGCTGGACCCATTGGTCCTACGAGAGGCTAATGGCCTGGTGGCCTGAGGAAGGTGGGGAGGGGACCCTCAGGCAGAGCAGGAGGGCTGTGGGTCAGAGGCCCAGACCTGGGGCAGTGGGGAGGCTTACTCTCGAGGCCTGCAGTGGGGCTCAGAGGCATTTTGGGGAGAGGAGGGGCCCGAAGGCCAGGCCCACTGGTTCGCTGAGAGGAGAGGATGGGAAAGAGTCCTGGGGAAAAGGGATTGAGGACTGAGTGAGAAAGAAGGCACAGGGGAGCCATGACCACAGACACGGGGAAGGCAGCTCTGAGCTACTGGAGAGCACCGAGCCCTGGGACAGGGGATGCACCTGTCCCCGCCGCACCTCTCAGGAGTGGTGACTGTGTCCACCATTGTCCCCGGGGGCCTAGACCCTGCAGGGACACATGTCGGCACAGGGCAGCAGCCGGCCCACTGACCCGAGATCCCGGAGTCCCAGGCCCTCCCAGGGCTGCTGCGGACCCGTGGACACCCCTGTGAAGCTCAGCCCAGGAGGCGCCCACAGGTGCTCCGTGTCCGAACAGCAGAGGCCCCCCTGGTGACGCTGGCACTGCCCCTCCTGGAGGCCGCCTGCAGAACTTCCGGCAGGCCTGGGCAGCAGCGGGGTCAAGGGCCGGGAGCAACCAGCTGCCAGGCCTCCACCGCTGCCGAGCAGTGCGACAGGCCTGCCTAAGGGAATGTTCTTGCTTGCCCTATTAGTTTTTACACTGTCTCAAGATTGTGTGGATTAATCAATGCGCCTTCTGGGTGAGAGCCTGGCCGAGCAGCAGCTCTCTTGGTGAGGGCAAGAGGGAAAAAGACCGAGGCCAGAGCTGCCTCCTGATGCAGCCAGCTGTGAAGGTATGCCCCTCCAGCTGCCTGGGGCCCCCTCAGTTTCCCCATTGTTAACTGAAGGGGGTTAGATAAGCCCTAAGGGCCCCATCTGCTCCAATGTCCTAAGGCAGTGATGGCGAACCTTTTGAACTCGGCGTGTCAGCATTTTGAAAAACCCTAACTTAACTCTGGTGCCGTGTCACATATAGAATTTTTTGATACCTTTTGAGCTCGGCGTGTCAGCATTTTGAAAAACCCTAACTTAACTCTGGTGCCGTGTCACATATAGAAATTTTTTGATATTTGCAACCATAGTAAAACAAAGATGTATATTTTTGATATTTATTTTATATATTTAAATGCCATTTAACAAAGAAAAATCAACCAAAAAAATGAGTTTGCGTATCACCTCTGACATGCGTGTCATAGGTTCACCATCACTGTCCTAAGGTTTTCTGGAAAGATTACATGTGACCCCAAAAAACAAGCAGCCCCACAGACCCTGTGGTGTCTCTGTCCGGACTGTGGGCCCTCAGGCCAGCTTTTAACCTGAGATTCGGACTCCAAACCCTGGAAAATGAAGAGTGAACCATTTCCCAGGAAAGCATGATACCAGGGCTGCATGAGAACACCTCGTGGGCACCTTAAGTCACACCTGCAGTAGCAATTGGACGACCAAAGCCCCACCACCAGTTCCAGCCCCCGCAGCCTTGTCTGGGTACCCTCTGGTGCCGGTCAGGACGTGGAGGAGGGCATAGAGGTCAGGTGGGCTGCAGCCCCCCGGGTTTTACATGTCCCTCCATGGATGGGGGTTTAGCCAGCACTTTCAAATGGTGATAGATGCAGTCTTGGTGAAACATAATTCGTCTTGAGACTCGAAGAGTAAACAAATGTGTAATTCATGAATTTGCTAATTGTCCTTCATTTTGATCTCCTGCCATTTTTCCTAGACTCTCTGACTGACACCCTGCTCGTGGTGGGACTGAGAGAGTGCCGGGAGCGAGCCAGAGGCAACTGGCATCAAAGCTGGGCACCTGGACTCACCCGCCTCCCGGCCGCCACCTCCAGCCCCTCCCCCACACACCACACAAGGCAGGAAGCCCATGACACCCAATCTTTTATTTTCTTGAACTGTACACAAATGTAAAATACTTTAAAAGCCAGTCTATGGGAAAATTGTTTGGTTTTAAATTATTATGAAACAGAACCTAAGGGGAGCTTTATTAAATAAACATAAAGATGGGGATTTAAAAATACACACCTGCGTGCTACCATAGTCATTTTCACTCTACCTTCTGGGTGTGTGAGGATAGAAAAGACTCATCAAACTGAATAAACAAAATTCATTTATACCCTGAAATGTTGGCAGGCCACTCAAGGGATTGTTCAGAACGTCTACCTCATAGAAGATGGCCTCACCATCTAATAAAAATTAAAACTGATCTGTTGGCCTCTTTGGTTCCAAAATTATGTATAATACATTTAACTGTATTTTTTTGCTGCTATAAAAATAACTTCTTTTTTCAAATGGCAGTTTCTGACTAATCATGCAACTAAATCAGTGCAAACATTAAAAGCAATCATTCGCTTTAAAAAGAAGCAAAGGATTTCATTTCAAGTATAAAAAATATAAAAAGAGTCGTACGAGTCCAGTTTGTCTAGTGTGGGTCAACCCTTTAAATTGCATAGTTCACATGGCACTTGGACACCGTGGGACGAGCGAGTCAGTGCTCTGGCAAGGGCCACTTCTGAACACGCGCAGATGGGCAAGTGCTATATCATGTGCATTCCGGCAGGTCTGCAAGTGCTAGGCGGGGCTGCTGGGCAGGCGAGCGGGTGGGGCCACGTCCGTGGCTAGCCCTGGTGGCCAGGACCCACACTGGCAACTTCTGCAAAGTAGCTGAAAGCCTTCCCCATCTCCCCAAGACCAGCTTAACTGTTCCCTGTCCCTTGCCCCAGCCTGAGGGGGCATCCCCACCACCACTCCGCATTTCCAGAATGCCTCCATGCCACCATTTCCTCCGTGGGCTCACCCCTTTGCCTGGGGGCGATTTCCACCTCTCCCTAGCCAGTCCTAGAGGAATATCCCCAATGAAGGGTACAGGTTGCAATTGTTTTCTTCCCATTTAGAACAATCCAGATTTTAACTTAAAAGATCATACCTGGTAGAAAAGTCCCTTTTCAATTATACAACTGGAATGAATGACCTGTCAACTGCTAGCAATCAGTTAAAGCATCAAATTAAGACCCTTCTCCTCTCCCTCCCTCCCCACCCCCAACACAAGCACACATATAAGTCAGGCCAGGGACCCAAGCAACAGTCAAAGGGCCACTGCCACCGCTCCGGTCTCTGGCAGGCTGTGTGCTTTCTGGGGCTCCTTTCCGCTCTGGGAGGGAAAGGACGGGCCCCCTTGGTCCTGCAGCATGAAGGATCCATGCAGGGAGGAAGCGGCAGGAGAAGCTGAGGCACAGCAGGTCTTGCACAAGCAAAGGAGCTACGCAGCCCCTCTGCCTACCCACACACTCCCCACCCCCGCATCTGCTTTGCTCTTGGTGGCTTCGGTGCTCCTGTGCTCCCATGCTCCGGTGCTCCCCCCATGTGTGCGCGTGTGTGTGTGTGTGTGTGTGTGTGTGTGTGTGTGTGAGTGTCTTTGTGCTTTTGTGTGCTCCGAAAGCGCAATTCAGAGTGGTCGGGCCAGCTGGTGGCAATGGTGGCTGCTCACCCCATTCTCTCCAACTGACAGGCATTTGTAGCTAAGCTGCCATTTGTCACCTCATCCATTTGCTGGTATCCTGGAGGCTGCTGTGTGGGTGGCAGGATGCGTCTGGCTGTGCGTGTCTACATGTGCATTTTAAAGTATTTCATGTCAGTTGAGGGTTCTTGCTCTGCTTTTGACTGATTGCTGGATGAAGAAGTAGAAAAGTATTTCAGGCTTCACCCTGGCACCTTCTGGGCAGCCCACTAAACAACAGCACTCAACCTACCACGCACCCCCTTCCCGTAGGGGGCTGCAAGAAGCCCATCCAGGGCTGTCCTGGCGCCCCACCGCCACAGCCCCGCTGCCTCAGGCACAGCCGCACTCCTCCACGATCATGTTGGGCACATCTCGCTTGACGATGTTGTACTCGTCATCGAAGTAGAGCATGGACATGGTGCTCAGCTTGGTGGGGATGCAGCAGGAGTTCACCGTGCCGGGATTCAGGCCCCGCATGCGGTACTGGTTCACCACGGCCGTGTGGAAGGAGGAGGCTGAACCTGGGACTCCGGCCAGGTAGGCTGGGCAGCTGCCCTCACAGTAGTTCCCGTAATAGCCAGTGGGCGCGATGATCCAGTCATTCCAGCCGATGAGGCGGAAGTCAATGAAGAACTGTTGCCTGCAACAGAGGTTGGTCCGGCCATCGCACTCCAGGCCCCGCTTGCGAATGCGGTGCCTGCTGTCACCCAGCCGTGCCTGCACAACCACGAAGGGCCGGTGAGACTCCTCGCTGGGGTCCACGAACACGGGCACCACAGCCAGCTCCTGGCAGCCGTCGCACTGCACGTCCAGGTTGAGTCGCCGCTCGCCCCGCTCAAACAGGGCCTGGATGGCCTCTGTGAGTGGGAAGGTGTGCCAGCCGCTGCGCTTGAGGTCTACCTTCTTCTCTACCACGTTCCACCGGTCGCCGTGGCCCTGCTCCTGGTAGTACACCTTGACCCGAACCTTTCTCCGACTGCCCTTCTCCAGGACATAGGGCAGCAGCTTCAGGTAAAGCCACAGGCTGGCCTGTACCACAAACAGGTTCTGGTTGCCTTCATTGGAGATAAAGAAGTAGAGGCGGACGCGGGAGGAGGCGAGGCCATCTGCAGGGAAGCGGGAGAGCAGGCCAAGTTAATTCAAGGACACGAGGCAATGGGGGAAATGGGCTGCTGCATGGCGCTGGAATGCTCACTCGCAGCTGGAAGACGTTACTGACCAGAAATACCATTCCTCAGGCCAAGGCCTCTGGCTAGAACCTGGGAGAGGCAGGGAAAATCATTTCCCATTGAGAACCGTGGACCAGGTTGGAGCTGAATGGTCTAGGGCCTGTAAAATCCTACCTCACCTCTCCCAGGCCAGGGCTCCCTGGAGACAGGCCGTCGGGCCTCAGAGCTCCACAGAGGAACTTGTCAAGAGGCCAAGGTCTTAACAAGTTGTTAATGGTATCTGTGAAATCTAAAAAACAAAACCAGGATCACACTGAAAATTTGGGGGTAGGATGTTTCAGTAAAGTGGGGGTTTTCTGTTTTGTTTTGTTTTGTTTTTGTTAACTTAGGGCATTGCAAAATCTAGCCGAGCCACCTACTGCCTCTTTCCAGTGTTTACCTAAGCAGGATCAGATCCAACCCCACGGGGACCTCCACAGCAAACAAGTGAGTGCTCTCATGTTTCTCACACAGCAAAGTGTGCTCTGCAGCCTGCAAAGTGCAGCCCTCGTTTCCGATTAGTTAGTTCCAAGGGACGGGACGTTCAGCCTTGAAACTTGAGGTCCATTCCTTTGACGAGACCCGGGCTCCCCATTAATGGCACATTCAACATCTCCAAGGAAAAGGGGAGCTGGCTTATTGGTTTTCTCAATAACTCAGCTCAACAAGAAGAGCCCCAATGCCACCCCAGAGGTGACTCCTCTCTCACCCCACATTTCAGCAACTCTTCTCTGACCATCTCTACTGCTTTCTTTCTTTTTCTTTTCTTTTTTTTTTTTCTTCAGGAGAACAAATAAAGCAACTGTATGGCCACGGCTGGTTTTATCAAACCTCCTACCAGTGTCTCCCCCTCCACAGCCCCTCCTCAGGCCTCCCCTGGCTCCTCTAATAACACTGACATCTGACTTTGAAATGGGGGAAAGTGCAGCCTTAGAAGCTGGTCTTGGACCAGCTGCCTGTGACCTGAATCTGTTATTTATAAGTCAAAGAGCTGGCTCCACGAAACGGACCAGAAATATAACAGCCCCCGCTGGCATTTTGTGCCACAGGGACCAAAAGGCCTCCTCGACCTTCCAGAATCACATTTCTACTCTGGGCCCCAAAAGCACCTTTAATCCAAGCCCTCTAATGGCATGTGGAGCTTCCCCACTCGGCTGGACAGCTAAAACAGCAACGCGTCTCTTTCTAAGCCCAGGCCAGCCCCGGCTGTCTCTGCTTTTCTCTACACCCGGCCATGCAAAACTTTTCATCCCTGGGCAGCACCAGCCCAGTCTGCCTGTTGCCTGGGAGGGTGGTGGCTGCCGGGGGAGGCATTTGCAGCCTGGGGACACAATCGGTCCCCCATGCTAGGCTCCCTCCCCACCCCCACCCTGGCCAAACCAGGGCTTCCCCCTCTTGGACCTACTCGGCAGTCACCACCGAGCAAGTGGGGCTGAGCCCCAGGCACAAAAGGCAGCCGGGCTCATTGAAGTCCTGAAAAGGACAGCGGAGTTGAAAACACTTGCAGTTTAACGTGGACACAATTTTCTTCTTCTTTTAAAGTTTGGAAAGATTCTCTCTCTCTCTCTCTCTCTCTCTCTCTTGATTTTCATATTTAGACAGTGGTAGAAATTGGCACTCCAGGGCCACAAGAAAATTCCAGAAAGGACTCCTACCCTTTGTGAACTACAAACTCTGGGGCTCTGGGGCGAGGGGGCTGCTGCCAGGCGAGCCCAAAGGCACGGGGCTGTCCTCGGCGCGGCTTTCTCTGCGTAAATGATGGGACCTGTTGAGAAGCTGGCCTTCCGCTCGGTTCCGGTGCCCACACAATCGGAAGAGAGGTTGCCTAGCTCTCCCTGGTGAGGCTTCAGCAATCCTGGCAAGCCCACGCCGCTGGTGATGGAAGCAGCCCGGGGCCTCTCACGCAGGCACACACACACACACACACACACACTCACTCACTCCTCCGGCCCACTGATATCAACAAGAACACACATCTCCAGCCACACTGCTAAGCCTACACTCCGATCGTGGGAAACAAAAACATTAAGCAATCACTAAGCAAGTGCCGCGGAGCCAGGGCCTCACGCATCTGCCAGGAGGGGGACGCGCGCCCAGAGGCGCGGGGGTCGGATTCCGGAGAGCAGGGGTGGCAGGCAAGGTGTTAGCGGTGGGGACAGGGGGAGTAGGAAGGAATCTGCTCCCTGGGTTAAGAAGACGGCAACCGGCAACCTGGACGGAGTGCATAGGGCCATGAGCGAGCGGCCGGGCCGGGAGTCCGGTACCGGAGGGCTCGCTGGCTGCTGCGGCCAGAGCGGGCGAGGAGAAGGGGGTGGGGGAGGGATCGGGCCACTCCTAGCCGCCAGCAGAACCAACCCACCTGTCTCAGCGAAGCTGATGATCTCAGAGACGCGTTCCTGGCCGTCGGCGCCCGGGCTGGCATGGCCGTCGAGGTGCGGGATCTCCACACGGCCGTCCTCGCGCACCT